CGGGACTGCCTGGACTGGGGGGGAGGGGGCGCCGCAGCCCCGCACGTCCGTAAGCGGGGAGGACTGGCCGCCCCGCCCCGCCCCGCCCGCGCTCCTCCCAAGTGGAGCAGGGAGGGGACGCAGCACGGCATGAAGTGAACTTCAGCCCGCCAAAGCTTGTCTAGGCGTACACCTACACACACACACACACACACACACACACACACGTGCGCACATTCATGCACACGTTCACACATTACACACATGCGCGCGCAAACACATTCACACACTGTGACATACACATACATAGACACACCCCTGTGCACACACATGCACACATTCACACTCTCATGCACACGTTCACACATACATTCACAGATTCATGCACACATTCACACATTTGCACACTGACATGCACACAAACATGTTCACACACACACACACACACATGCATTCACACATACACACACACTCCAGCCCACCTACGCTTGGCTATGCATGTTATGCAGCTGTATATGCATAATATATATGCACACGCATACACTTTCTTCAACATAGTTATACATATATATAAATATGTATTACTTAATCTATATACATGATAGATTATTTATGTATATATTACTATTATTATATAGATTATATATACGAGTGTGTATATATAATCTACTTTGTATATATAATCTACCATATGTGTATATCTAATCTATAATCACATATATACACAAAGTAGATTTTATATATATACACATACACACATTTATATAGATATAGATATAGATAGATTACATAGATTTGTAAAAGGCAGGGTAGAGGTGCACTTTATAGACAACCCAAAGGAGATTTATACACGCACGCACACACACACAATTATATATGTAATATATAATTACATATATAATTATATATTATCTCCTCTAGTTAGTCTATAAGGTGCACATCTACCCTGCATGCTATAAATCCAAACATCCCTTATGTTGTCAAAATTCACATCTGAAGTCTGACTTGCGACTATCCCTCAACCCAACCTCTGAGAACTGAACCCTCTTAGTGCCTTCCTATATGCCTCCTGGCCAAACCTCAGGTCTTAGACCAAGTGATGTGAACAGTGCAGGGACACAACTGAGTTACCTCAGACTTCCTTAAGCATAAACTTGGGCTAACCTCAGCTCTCAGTGTTTTAGAAGCTCTCAGTCTATATTTATCATAGTCCTTACCTCAAGATGTGCATACACTGCCTAGGATCCTTATTAAGGTGGGTGTGTATGTCTGCAGAATGAAAAGCATAGCAATTTTTTCCAGCAACAAATTTGCTTGTCCTGCCCTTCATAAGAACTTCCCCCACAAGGCCTCTAGGGCCACGTCCAGCTGAATGCAGCCATGTGCTATGTGGTGCCGCAGACATATCTGTGGTGCCATGTATTGCACATTCAGGTGTTCTCCATGCTGCAAAGGAGCAGCGCTGGGGGTGGGGGTTTACCCTTGGATATCCAATGATCAAAAAAACCCACGCAAAAAAAAAAGCAGAGAGGCGCACCAGGGGCAGCACGTGCCACTCAAAACTAGAGCATAGCTGGCTGGAGTCATGCTCCAGCTGCCAGCCAGGCTCCGAGTGGCAGGATCACCACTACTGCAGCCCCAGGAGGCCCCCAGAACCCCAGGTAAGGCTGCTGGGGCCAGCCCAGTGCTGGCCTCAGCCTCCCCTACCCCATCCGGTAACTTGTCACGTGCCAGAGGGCACATGCATCCCCCAGGGACAACTAGCGGTGGCACAAGGTGCTAGTTGTCCCTGGGGAACCAAACATCCACGTTCATGTGGACGCAGCCTAGAAATACATAAGAACTGCCATTTACTGGGTCAGTCCATGTTACTCCATATCCTGTCGCACAGTGGCAGAAAGTGGATGCTGAAAGGAAGAATGAACAGGGTTTTCTCCTGTTCTTCTCCCACTTGCAATCACTAGTACATAACATCTAGGAAGATCCGATTCAGAGGCTGTGCCCCTCACTCCACTCCCAAGTTCAATAGGTATGGATGCACCTTTCCTTCAAGAATTAGTAGCAAGCCTGCTTCTACATTAACAGGTTCTCTCTGACAACACTTAGTCATTTTGATTATGGAAACATTGAATGTCATAAACCTATAGAAGAAATTTTACAAAGCTGCATTGTCCTACTAGGTTTTTGTTACTACCTTAGAAAATAAATTTGGACTGGGTACAGTATAAATGTGGATGGTTCTCTCAGGTCACTGGTAACACAAAGTAGAAGAACAAAGACCAAATTGTTAGTTTTGTGCCCAGAAAGCTACAAAACAAATGTGTCCATCATCAAAGCTATCAGCATTGCAGCACTGTAAAGAAGTGGATGGCAGACAACACAGTCCATCTTCACTAGGGTAAAGTTGCCCAGTCTTGTGAAGAATAAGGGTTAAAAAACTGCTGGCATTAATTCATACCAGTTTAGGTTTTAATTGTCCACATCCGTGTTGAGGTGGCCATTTGCTAAAGGCCAAAAGTTTATTACCCTCTCACTGCTGTCAAGTAGCAAGGCACAGAATTAGCTGCCTATTATGTTACCCCTGGGATAACTGAACATATGTCTATTCCTGAGCCTAGTATAGTTTACATCAGTGTAAAAAGTGAGTGTGAATTACCACAGGGTGTTTATCCAAAGCCTTAGCTGTGCTGGTCACTGAATGTAAGAGTGGCCCCACAAAAAAGCCAGCTTTGAAATCAGAATAACATTTCATTGAAGAGTCTTCCTGGCTGTCTTTCATCTCATAATCCAGCCAGATTCTCCTGCCTAGACAGGCTATAAATGCCTGTACCTTCTGCTAGACAGCAGCTAGGTATTGGTGAAAATACCTTTTGCCTTGAAAGGGAATAACCAGAAATAAAATCCTGTGGCTAAAAAATCTTGTATAAGCAAGATTAATTTACAATACAAACATGTACATAATTTAACTCAAGTGTAGAAAATAAAGAATGGCTAACTAATATTTGCTATTTTTATTTCTCTTGCAGAGATGCTAAGCACTGTAAGATGGTACTCCAAGAACAAAAAAGGTCTGTGAAACCACGTACACATAAGCATCAAACCACTTTGTGAAGTGCTAATCTCCCTTTTGAAATTCAGCCAGAAAACCCACATTAAAACATAAGAGAACAGAACTGGTGTACTAAGTACTACATAAGTACTATTCAGATGATATTTAGATACCAGGGTGATGTGTATATTATAAATACAGTAAAGATTGGATTTGACAGGTCACCTCAGAAAGGAGTGTGGTAACAAAAAGGATGCACTGGTAATACAGATTTCAGTTGTTATGATTGACTGGAGTGGGGCTTCTAGGGTGGGATATTCAAAAGGGCCTAGTGTGGCTGGTTGGGAGACTTAGTGGGACTAATACAAAAGGGCTACTGCTCTCAAATTCCTTGAATGCTTTCAGTTCTCATGTGGCAGGGGAATTTTGTGCTGTTGGCTGACACGTGATAATTAGTAGTATTGGAGAGGCTGGGACAGACAAGCTTTCAAATACAATGCACTGCTCTTCATTCAAAAGCTTGTTTAAGCCTATCCCAACCATGTAGTTGGTACAATGAACTATATCACCCACCTTGCCTGTTGCATATTTCCTGGACTACCACAGCTATAACATCAGTCCAACACTACCAATCCTCAAGTTTTAGCCAAATCACACCTCTTTCCTTCCCAAAATCCAGTGCCATTAATTTCTACTGGGAAGCGGCATCTCCTATAGCCTTTCTTTTAAAGATAGTGATTTTTTTACTTTCCTTCTGGATAGCACATGGAAAAGTTTATGCTGGTGAAAGAAAAGGACTTGTATTGCTGGTCCTGCTCCCAATCTAGATATAGGCTTTCTAGGCCTCACTAAGTGACAACAGGACAAACTCTGCCAATTGCAGAATCTCATCTCTGAAGAGTTGCAGCAAGTTTGATAACAGGAAAGTTTATCAAACCCCACCTCATATACCTCTACAATCATTAACAAATCTTAATGAAAAACTTATCTATATAAACCAACTTAAGTCACAAGCATCTGACTTCTTTGAAGCTGTAATTAG